TCAGGGTGCTGAGCCTGGCCCGCCTCTGGCTGTGTACTGCTGGGGTCTGGCCTTGGGGGGCCGTCAGCCTAATCTCGAGGAAGGGAAGAAACAGTGAGCTGCACCACTTGCCCAGCTCCGGGCCATGGCCCCCATGTCTCCATGGGGAATTGGGGTTCAGCCTGGAGGCTCCCCTACCAAGCTGGGACTCTGACTCCCCTTGTGCTCTCCAGGTTGGGGGGCTGGGCAGGCTGGAGATGCCCACTTCTGCTTCTACTTGTCTCTCTGACCAGGCCCTGGCCATCCTGAAGAGCCAGTGGGCTATTCCAGCCACGCTGCTGCTCCACGGGGGCCTGGCCAGGCTGCCCACCCACCCACAGCCAGGTGACCCCACTGCAACAGTGACAAAGGTGGCCTCCGTCGGCCACAGCATCCTCTGCAGGGAGGTGTGAGTAGAACCCCTCATGAGGCTCTTGCATCCAACAGGCTTTCTGACTCATAACTACCCATCTGGGGGTGCCCTCAGGGTACTTCTCAGTTGTAATCACGGTCACAAAAGGGTGTTCAGTGAGCACTTACTATGCGTCCACTGCCATGCTAATAAGCTCCTTCCTGCTCACTTTGTCCTCCTGGCAACTCTGGGACAAAGGAATCGATAATCATGATGATTACCCATCTCAAAGATGTGGAAATCGAGGTTCTGAGAGGTTGTGTAACCTGCTATGAGTGGCAGAGTGGGGGCAGGAACCTTGGGATGTCTGATTTAAAGCCCCATCTTCAAAAAAAAAAAGCCCCATCTTCACCCCAGCATCATCTTGGTATTGCCGCTATACTGACAGCCTCTACTTACAGACAACCAAGCTGAGGTGCAGAGGCTGCCAGGGTCAAGGGCTTGTAAATGGCTGAGCCAGGATTCCAGCCCTGCTTCCCCGGACTAGGAAGCCCAGCTGGCTGCCCCGGGCCTCTCGCTGCAGGATGTTGCAGGGAGGCAGGGGACCTGTCTTCGGTTCTGTGCTGGATCCTCTGGGGCAGAGCCCGGTGCGTCTGCGGCGCACGGTGAAGGGGGACTGAGAGCCCCTGCGGTCCCCGTGGGGAGCGGCTGTCTCTACCTGTGTACTCCGGAAAGCAGATGGTGAGCGGAGACTTCTTGATCTTCTCTTCAAATATGTCCTTCTTGTTAAGAAACAGGATGATGGACGTGTCCGTGAACCATTTGTTGTTGCAGATGCTGTCGAACAGCTTCAGAGACTCGTGCATGCGGTTCTGCAACAGAGCGAAGGAGAGGCGAGTGAGGCCTGTGCGGCGCCCGGGGCCCGGACCCACCGCGGCCAGTGACACAGCGGGACAAGCAAAGGGACGGTCCGCCAACACGGCTGAACACACCACCAGGGACAGAGACGCGAGGACCCACAAGGACACGGACCTGGTCCCTGCTGCATTCCACACGCGGGTGGGGTGGGGGTGGAGCAGGGGACAGGACAGGGTGGGGGAGCACTGCCCCTCCCCCGAAGAGGGCTGACCCGGGCGGGGGCAGTGAGGTCACCGGAGGGACTCCAGCCCACCACAGAGAGGACATGCACCATGCACGCGGGGACGCCACCCTCCACATGTCCACGTGGGACCGTGGGGCATGCAGACGGCTCTATAGTGGGCCTCGCTCGGCTTCACCAGCGGGGGTGGGAGGATGCACGCATTCAGTTGGGAAACATTAACCGAGGACAGAGGGATCCTCGCATTAATCCAGAGTTGGAAGCAGACACCAGGGGGACAGCGTCGGGGGAGTGCTCTTGCTGTGGCCTTGGTCTAGTTGGGGACCAGGTGGGTTGCCTGGGCCGTGGCTGGGCTGGGGGTGGCTCTGTGTGAGCTCCTTATCGAGACTGTTTTCCCAGTAGAGGGGCCAGAAGAACCCCAAGATGAAAGCCAGCAAAACAGATTAAAACAAAGAGGAAGATAAAAAACCCAGAAAACATGAGAGAAGAAAAGAGAGGGGGGAAGAAAAAAACCCCAAATCAGTTCAACCAGTCTCAGGCCAGGAAGTCAAAGCCGGTCCATCTGGAGGGCCCCCTGGGGCAGGCTCCAGAGACCACGGCAGCCCGGGGGCTGTGGACCGTGTGGCTGGAGATGGAAGGTGAGGTGGGGCGCACCAGCCTAGGCAGGCAGGTGAGGAGAGTGGGACGCGGGAGTAGGGGCAGGCTTCACAGCAAAGTCACCCGGCGGTGCCCTGGGAACCTGCTGCTTTCAACTCTTAGCTGACAGTCTCAGCTGGAAGGAGGCGCTTCATACCTGCCCGAATTGCAGCGTGTCTCAGAATCTGCTCATGGGTTTGGCCTTGGTTTGGCAAGTTAAGGCCCTGCAGGCGGCGGTGACGGTGCTGCTGCTGAGAAGTTGTGGCAGGTGAGGCCCAGGGCCGCGGGGGTCCGGGCTGTGGCGGGCACAGTGGCCGGCCAGTGGGCAGGCAGCCACCAGCCCCACGGCTCCTGGCCAAGCTCCAGGAGCCCCCAGACACCTTTTTCTCAGGCAGCCCCAATTCTCGCCCCCCACCTCCGGCCTGGGACGGCGGGGCAGGGCCGACCAGAGAGGAAGGTGGACGACCAAGGACGGGTCAGCGGCTGGAGCTCTTGCTCTCAGGGGCAGCACAGGTGAGTCCCACCATCTGGCCTCGAGTGGTGCTCCTGGGCAGAATTGTGTCGCAGCTGCTGTCTGCTGCGTGAAGGGTCCCGAGCGAGCGCAGGCACTCTGAAAGCCCCCAGCCCCAGGAGTCCTCAGAGCCACCCAGAGGCCGCTCGCCGTGGGCTCCGCTTTCTAGAGGAGCAGGTGGAACGGCTGCCACGCCCCACGGTGCCAGTGGGGCTAGACCCCGGGCTGCGTCCACCTGGCCCTGGACACACCGGCGTTTGCTCAGCTCCAGGGCACTGTTCTCATGGGCACCATGGCAAGGAGCTGCCTCTGTGGGCTCTTGTTGAGGGGCGAAGCCAATGCCGGAGCCCTGGAGAGGCTGCTGTTCTCTCCCAGGTGGAAAGGAACCGAGAAAGAGCCCATCTGCAACCCCACCTGCTGTAGCTTCCCCAAGGTCCTCGGACCCAGCCTTTGTGAAGAAAGGCAAGGAAATGGGGGAGAAGGAGCTGAGGGAGAGCATGGGAGAGAGACAGTGAAAGTAGGAAGGCGAGGAGGAAGGCGCTCCAGAACGGGCCCTGCTCCAGAGTGAGAGCTGGTGAGGAGCTGACAGAGGCTGGTGGGCCGGCAGACCAGGAAGGCCGTCTGAGCATGAGGCCCGGCACCTGCTGGCTTCACTTGAGACCCGCGGGCCACAGAGCTTGGGACCCCGTGGCTGCCAGACCCGCTCTGACGTCCTCTGCTCTGCCCATGCTCGGGAGGCCAGTGCGCACTCCTTCCTGAGAGGGACTTGGGACTTGGGACTGAGCAGGGTGGGTCTCCAGGAAGAGGCCTAGGGCCCTCAACACTCTAGTGCTTGGTTTTCTTTCAAACTCACAGCAGGATTGGCTTCCTGCACCAACCCTGTTTCCCACTCCCAGGCATAGCAAGGAGAAAAGATGAACCAAATGGAGCTCAGATCACAGGGTGGCCAGGGGACTGTGAACAGTGGGTCCAGAAGCAGGGTCAACAGTGATCAGTGAGAGATGTGCCGGGGTGGCCCCTGTGCGCGGTGCCTTGTGGGGGGCGGCAGGAGCCAACCTGGGCTTCAGGATGGTCAGTGGGTCCAGGCCTGGGGGTCTTAGACACCACAGCTCCTGAGGCCACTGAGAACAGTGCCGGCGTTAGAAAGAGCTGCACAGCTGGAGTCCCAGAGCCTTGCCCCGGAACAAGGCAGGGTTTGTGGGGCTCCGCTAACGCCCTGCTCAGAAGTGTTCTGGGGACCAAAGGAGAAAGGGCGAGGTGGACAGGCCAGCACGCAGCACGAGTCCTGATGGTCCACCCGGCCAGTGGCTCTGGCCCCATCTGCCCACGGCACCATCACTGCATAACCCCGACCCCTCAGAACGGCGGCGCCTCCTCCCCTAGCACCACACCCCAAAGCCCAGCAGACCTCGGTAGCAGCCCCGTGGGACCAGCGGACAGGACCAACGATGAGACAGACCCGGAGAGAAGATAGCCTTGCTCAAGGCCCACCGTGACGAGCCCAGTCCCAAAACCTCAGTGCCAGGGGTCTGTCTCTGCCTGCATCACACACAGGAGCTAACGATCGCCAAGGATGTGACCCCACGGCCCAGAAGCCCCACCTCAACGGATGCTTGTCTCCTGAGACCCCACCAGGCCCACCTCTCTGTGGGCAGCTCAGGGGGCACCCGGCTCAGGACAACCCCCAGGGACAACACGACCACCAGCCCAGTGCTGCTAAGCCAGAGACGGTTCCAAGTCCTTGAAGATTCTCACCCCACTGCCCACGCCCCACCAGGCGGGTATGATGGTTACACCCCTAAGACAGAGAGGATGTTCCCTGAATCTAGCAGCAAACCAGGGCCAGGCCCAGAGAAAGGCAGCACCCACTGCAGGTGAGGGCCCCGCTCTGAAGCCAGCCTGGCAGTTCTCCGAGGCCCCAGACTGAAGACGCAGTGACGGAAGGTGGGAACCCAGGCTGTGCCCCGCCACCCCATCACTTACCATGAGCCCCAGCCCACTGTTCAACCCTCTGCCAGCCCTGTCCACTGGTCAGGGAGGGCTGCTGGGGCTAAGAACCATTATTTCTGTCTTACATACATTCTTGCTTGACTGCACCCTGATTTCGTTTAGGATTTGCTTAATTTGGTTCTGGCCTGATGGCCTCTGCGTCTCCGCTGTGTTTACTGAAGAGACCCTTGCTGCCCAAGCCCCGGCGTCGGCACACAGGCTCTGAGCAGGGGGCCCGCGGCTGCCTTCACTGCATCAGCATCATGAGGCACCTGGCCGAAGTCAGGACAGAGGTGAGAACAATCTAGCCAGCGACGGAACCCCCCACCATCGCAGCCGGCTCCACCCGAGAGCCGCTGTGGGCCGCTGAGGCCGGGCAGGCCGGGGCCACTCACCGTGGTCTCGTCTTCGTGGAGCACCTGGTCGTAGCCGCTGAGCGCGACACAGAAGATGATGGCCGTGACATCCTCAAAGCAGTGAATCCACTTCTTGCGTTCAGACCGCTGGCCCCCGACGTCAAACAGCCTGTCGGGCAGACAGGGAAGCTGGGGATGGGGGGTAGGGAGACCCCAGCAGGTGTGGGGACACTGGTCGAGCTGAGGGGTGGGGGAAGAAGGCTGCTGTGCACACAACCAGCCTCCCGATGAGCCTTGCTCCAGGCTGAGGGCTGAGCATGGCATCCTCGGGGCGGGATGGCCATCACTGCTCTGTCCCAGGACAGGGCGGTGCCCCCCACAGTGACGCTAAGACCTGCCCCTGTCTCTCAGGGCTGTCACTGAGGGGTGACCTCAGCTGGACATGCCTTTGCGAGGTCCCCCTCTCAGGGAGATATGCACATCCTGCCCCTGGCTTTCTGAACAGATCTGTTCGCGTCTGTGGTCCGTGGAAACCGCAGAGCAGCCTGGGAGGGACAGAAGGAGGCGGGCAGGGACCTGCAGCTCCCACATGGAGGGACAGTGAGGCAGCAAGGGGTTAAATGCCAGGGTGCTGGCAGGAGCTGGGGTTAGACCAGGGTCTGTCTGCAGACAAAGCCTCTGCTCTGTGCCCTCCTTCCCTCACCCCTTCTCAGACACCATCCCCCGGGGGCATGAGAGCTGTCAGGGGAGATGGTGGCAGAGGGGCTTTGGTCCTGGAAGTGCGAGGTCAACCTCACATCTAACGCCCTGAGTGAAGATCCCAGGCCTGATGCACAGCTGCTGAAGTGGGCTGGGCCCCGACCCACCGATAGAGGAGAGCAACTGCAGGCCGGAGCCCATAGCGGGCCTGGAGCAAGGACACAGGTCCGGTCCTCGTCCTGTCACTGCCTCCCTTGGACCCTCTTCTCCATCTGAAATGCTGGGCCCGGATGACGGCTTCTGAGGCCCCTCCACAGCACATACTCTCAGCTGCTGCGGGCTGGGCGCTCCCAGCCCAGCTCCACACCCTCTGTCCCGAGGAGTGAGTGGGAGAGACTGAGGGACTAGGGTTCAGGGGCATCTTGTGGGGCTGCCTGGCCCATCCCTGCCTTCCTCGGGTTCAGGGGAGGCCTCAGGCAGCCTCGCAGGGATGGAGACAGAACCCCAGCCCTCTGTGTGGGAGCAGGCGGGGGCTGGGCCTCAGGCTGGGCAGGGCCAGGCAGCGCCCTCACATGGGTCTACTGGTCTACTGTCCCGGCCATCCTGGCCTTTCCTCTTGCTCCACCCGACACCCAGAAGCCACATCTGGGAGGCAGGTGGAGGCAGGTGGAGGCAGCTAGGGGCACCCAGACCTCAGGGAATGCAAGATGCCCCAGGTGGTGCTGGCAGGTCCCTGGCAGGACCTATGGTGCTCAGACCCTGGGCCTGAGCTGTGTTCTCTGCTCAGGAACAGACTTGCTCCTCCAGGCCTCAGTTTCCCCTATGCATCCGGAGAGGGCAGGCCAGCTAATCTCTAAGCCCTTTCCAGCTCTGAGATGACATGGGTCCTTGGGTTGCTTGGGTTCACCCGCTCTTATTCCCCACGCCTCCACATCTTCAAAGACCACCTGGGTGATCCACCGTCCTCCCCCTCAGAAGTCGTGCAGCGATAGGACTCCCCTCCTTTGTTCACTTGAATCCTCCCTATTCCTCAGAGCCCCACTCCAGGAAGCCTCTCTGCTCACCGCAGCCCCCGACCTTGGTGGCAAAGAGGCACAAACACAGGCCCCTCCTCGCATCCAACTGCCTGTGCCAACTGGAGAGCTCCCTGAGACAGGAATGCTCCAGACGAGCTGAGGTTGAGACGCAGGCGTCACCCGTGTCTTAGCATCTTCTCCAGGGTTGGGGAGTCTCCCTGGGCCTCACCTGAAGTGGAGGTTCTTGAACGTGAAGTGGGTTTCTACGATGCCGGTGGTTTTGACCCTGGTTCGGAGGATGTCCTGCTCAGTGGGCTGGTAGTCGGTGGCCCCGATCCGGTCCAGGCTGTCCAGGTAGCTGGGGATGGCAGCACACAGGGACCGTCGACCAGGTGTGGGCACTGCCCTCCCCGAGCGCCAGCCTCAACCTGGGCCAGGGAGGGACGGCACCACCCATCCAGGGCCAGGCGCGGGGCGGAGCTGAGGAAGAGAAGCTCACGTCCCGGCCTCAGGCGCTCAGAGCCTCTACCTCAGACCAAGGGCTTCGCGCACGGTTCCAGGCTCGCTCAGACAACGTCAGACTTTTCAATGAGACCAACATGTTTATGAGCTTCCCAGGTGGTGCTAGTGCTAAAGAACCTGCCTGCCAATGCAGGAGACATAAGAGATTCGGGTTCGATTCCTGGGTCGTAAAGATCCCCTAGAGAAGGCATGGCAACCCATGCTAGTATTCTTGCCTGGAGAATCCCATGGAAACCTGGTGGGCTACAGTCCATAGGCTCCCAAAGAGTCAGACATGAATGAAGCAACCCAGTATGCACCCACGTGTTTATAACACTGTCTGTCCTTTCTTCATCTTAAAATAATAATGGGCAGTAGTTAGATTCCAGTCTTTTTGTGCATTATCATGTTTCTCCCTTAATTTCTTGAGGTAAATGTATTATTTCCTCAATTAGAAAACTCAGGTTTTCTAATTAAGGTGAGTGCCTGGCCCAGTCGTGAGTCAGGGGCTGGGATCCCACCTCCTAACAGTACCCTGAAGTGCTTCCCAGAGGCCCTCTGCACCTCCGCCTGCCTCCCGCACACCTCAGGTTTACCAGGGGGCTGTTGCTTCTTCCCATCTGGTGTTCCTGGGAGGGAGGTCCAGAAGCCACACAGCCAGGCAGGGTCAGAGCCTTGCTGGGACCTAGGCCTTCGGCAGCAGGGCCCCTGCCATGCCATTACTTGCCCTGGAGACAGACCAGGCCTCTGCATTTGGCCCTCCAAGGCCACACACTGGGAAGGCTTTAGGGGTTGGTACGGGTTAAGGTTTGAACCCTAAGCCAGGCTGGGATCCAGAAAACCAGGAAGGAAGGAGATTCGTCAGACTGGCAGGAAGATTCAGTGACCCACAGGGCCAATGAATGGACTACCCACCCCTGTTCAGGGAGAGTCACACACAGCCCATGGGGAGCAACCTCAAGGGTCTGAGTCATGGCATGACGTGGGAGTCTCAGGCTGTGCACAGAGGGGCCGAGCTTCATCAGCACCCACCCTAGATCCCCTGGCGGGGCTGACTCCCCAGCTTGTGGATGTTCGCAGGGCTGGGAAGGGCAGATGCCTCCACCAAGGAGGGTGTCCACTGGTAAACCAACAATCCAGGCTGCCTCAAATCCTTGTGAGAATGCTCCCTAAGTAAACATAGCCAATGGTGGGTCCTGAGTTCAGGGAAGGTGAGCTTGAAGCCACACTCCTAGAAAAAGGATGACACTTGCTGGGGGGGTCAAGGCTGGGTCTGCCCAACTCCAGAGCCTATGCTCTTAGGCAGGCCTCCAGGCCTCCTCTCCGCCGTGGAAGGAGGGAAGCTGATATGGCAGAGCAGACCTGAAAGCTCTGGCCGCCATGGAGCCTCCTCACCAGGCCCATGGGCATCTGGGCGGTCTCTGACCTCAGCCTGAAGCAGATCCTCCCAACCTCTCTGTACGTGCCCCTCCCCTGCCCCCACTGTCTCTGCCCAGAAGTGGTGCTGGTTTCAGGAGCCTCCTCTTGTCATCCCCAGATGGAGACCTGGGCTGGGAGCCTCTGGTCTTGGCCCCATCCCAGCTGGAGAACTCTCTAGGCAGACAGCCTGGCCCTGTCTCTCTGCTGGCTGAGCCTCACACAGGGAGGCAGCCACGGGAGGGCAGAGGGTGCTCAGGGGACTGTGCACCTACTGTGTCTACTGCCTGCCGACTGTCCTGGGTGCTGTGGGGGCACAGGCCCCACCTCCCAGAGCCTCTGTTCCTGGGTGTGTGTGCAGGAGGTAATTAACAGAGAAGTAAGCTGTGCAACATGTCAGGAGGTGCTAAGTGTCAGGAGGGAAGACTCAGGCTATCAGGAGAGGGAGGCCGGCTGGGGTCGCTGTTTGATATCAGGTGGTTAGTGAAGACGCGTGGAGCAGGGCAACATTCGAGAGGAGACAGACGGCAGTGAGGGATGAGCTTCTCGTGGTCCAGCCAAAGGACTGGTGGGCGCAGAGGCCACGCCCGCTGTGGAGGAGGAGCTGGGCCTGCAGGCACTGGACAGGAGACGGGGCGAGGCTGTGCACGGGGCAGGGCGGGGCAGGCAGCAAGCAGTGAGGCTGGAGCAGGTGACGGAGGTGAGGGCACAGTGCGCAGGCCCCCGAGGTCAGTGTGAGCGCCTGCGCTTTCACTCTGGAAGGCTCTGACCAGAAGGGCGCTTTGCCAGTCACACCTTTAGTGGGGACCTGGGTCTGGGGAAAAATGATCCTCCCAAACCATGGAACTAACTACCTTTTACAGCCCTGGCTGGCACGTGCTTGGGTTTCTGGGCTTCTGGAACCCGTCTCAGAGCCATCGTTCAGAGGGGAGAGGGAGTGCCAGCTGTGTTCAAAGACCCACAACAGAGGGAGACCTTGGCTGGATGGTGTCCCCTCACCCTGAGCCCTGGAGCCTCCCAGTTACGTGAGAGGCAGGCTGGCCTGCCCCCCATGGCTGGACGGGGGCTCTGGGCCTTGGGGAGCTGCTCAAGCTGTCTAGTGTGTGAGAGAGAGAGAGAGAGTGTGTGTGTGTGTGTGTGTGTGTAAGAGGGGTGTGTGAGGTGTGTGTGTGTATGTTTGGTGTGTATGTCTAGGGTGTGAGAGTGTGTGTGTGTGTGTGTGTGTGTGTGTGAGGGGTACGTGAGGTGTGTGTGTGTATGTGTGGTGTGTACGTCTAGGGTGTCAGAGTGTGTGTGAGTGAGGTGTGTGTGTGTGCGTGTGTGAGGTCTATGTGTGTGTGATGTGTGTGTGTAAGGTGTATGTGCATGGGTATGAGGGGTGTGTGTGTGTGTATGTGTGTGGGGTGTGTGTGTGGTGTGTTTGTCTAGGGTGTGAGTGTGTATGTGTGAGATCTGTGTGTGTGAGGTGCATGTGCATGTGTGTGTGGGGTTTGTGTGTGTGTGTGTGCGGGGTATGTGTGTGAGGTGTATGTGACTGTGTGTGTGGTGTATATGTCGGGTGTGAGTGTGTGTGTGTGAGGTGAGTGTGAGAGTGTGGTGGGTATGTCTAGGGTGTGAGAATGTGTGTGTGAGGTGTATGTGAGAATGTGTGTGTGTGTGAGGTGTATGTGAGAATGTGTGTGTGAGAGGTTGTGTGTGTGACACGTGTGTGAGAATGTGTGTGTGAGAGGTGTGTGTGTGAGGTGTATATGAGAATGTGTGTGTGAGGTGTATGTGAGAATGTGAGAGGTGTGTGTGTGTGACGTGTGTGAGAATGTGTGTGAGAATGTGTGTGTGAGAGGTGTGTGTGTGTATGTGTGAGGTGTATGTGAGTGTGTGTGTGAAAGGTGTGTGCGTGTGTGACGTGTGTGAGAGGTGTGTGTGTGTGTGTGTTAGGTATGTGTGATAATGTGTGTGAGAGGTATGTGTGTGTGAGAGGTGTGTGTGTATGAGAATGTGTGTGTGAGGTGTATGTGAGAATGCGTGTGTGAGGTGTATGTGTGTGTGAGAATGTGTGTGTGTGAAAGGTGTGTGCGTGTGTGACGTGTGTGAGAGGTGTGTGTGTGTGTGATGTGTGTGAATGTGTGTGAGATGTGTGTGAGGTATGTGTGAGAGGTATGTGTGTGTGAGAGGTGTGTGTGAGAATGTGTGTGTGTGTGAGGTGTATGTGAGAGTGTGTGTGTGTGACGTGTATGTGTGAGGTGTATGTGAGAATGTGTGTGTGAAAGGTGTGTGCATTGTGTGACGTGTGTGAGAGGTGTGTGTGTGTGTGAGGTGTGTGTGTGTGAGGTATGTGTGAGAATGTATGTGAGAGAGGTATGTGTGTGTGAGAGGTGAGTGTGTGTGTGACATGTGTGCGAGAATGTGTGTGAGAGGTGTGTGTGTGTGAGGTATGTGTGAGAATGTATGTGAGAGAGGTATGTGTGTGTGAGGTGAGTGTGTGTGTGACGTGTGTGAGAATGTGTGTGAGAGGTGTGTGTGAGAGATATGTGTGTGAGGTGTGTGTGTGTGTGACATGTGTGTGTGAGAGGTGTGTGTGTGAGAGGTGTGTGTGTGACGTGTGTGAGAATGTGTGTGTGTGTGAGGTGTATGTGACAATGTGTGTGTGTGAAAGGTGTGCGTGTGTGACGTGTGTGAGTGAGAGGTGTGTGTGTGTGAGGTATGTGTGAGAATGTGTGTGAGAGAGGTATGTGTGTGTGAGGTGTTTGTGTGTGACGTGTGTGAGAATGTGTGTGTGAGAGGTGTGTGCATGTGTGACATGTGTGTGAGAATGTGTGTGTGAGAGGTGTGTGTGTGAGGTATGTGTGTGAAAGGTGTGCATGTGTGACGTGTGTGAGTGAGAGGTGTGTGTGTGTGAGGTATGTGTGAGAATGTGTGTGAGAGAGGTATGTGTGTGTGTGAGGTGTGTATGTCACCCAGAGTTGTGCCAGGCGACAGCTCTGTTAGGCCTTTCTCTCCCTTCGTCACAACAAATCTACTTTGAACTGTTTTACCTTTCAGGCCCCAGCTTCTGTCAGAAGACGAGAGCTAGCAGCTAAAACTGCAACAGCAAAGCAACCCGGGACCAGAAAGTGTTCGAGGGCCTTCGGAACCTGCCTGCGGGCCCCCCGCCCTCCGCAGGGCCCTGTCCCAGAGAGCGGAGGGCAGTCTCCTCAGCTCACCTGGGGGAGTTGACAAGTACTCACTCAAGTCTCTCATTTCAATTTATCAAGGTAACCACCAGAGGAACTAAAAATAACCCTGTAACTAGCCAAAAACTGGGGGTGGAAGTGGAGAAGAGTGAAGGAAGGAAGGAAGGATGGAAGGGGGAAGGGGAGCTAAATTCCTCAGCTTTCACAGCTGCGGCCATTAAACACCATTGAGAGCTGGCAGGTCAGGTTTTCTGGACATCGCTGGGACAAATAAACAGAGATAGTTAACAGTGGGAGGGGGCAGGCCTGGGAGGAGGAGACCACTATGAATTTTATACCTTTCCATACTGTTAAAAAAAATTTTTTTTTGCAATGGACTGATATTATGACTAGTTAAGTGGCAATCATTTAAGTGGGGGGCACGATTTGATGTCCTGAGGTGCCCCTGAGGGTAGTGGGGGGATGGGAAGGGTCTGGACTGAGGCTGAGCAGGGGGCAGGGAGTGGGAGAGGAAGGGGGCCCCTCTCCAGGCCTGACTGGCTGGGGGTTGGGGGGACACCTGAGTCGAGATCTATGATTTGAGTGCACAGAGAGAGGCGTGGACTTGAGCCTCTGGGCTCACATCCCTGCCACCAAGGTGTCCTGGGGGCTCATCAGGGACTGGGGCCTGGGTCACTACCACCTGGGACTCACAGGACACACGCGCCTGCCCCCGGGACAATCGAGGTGTGTAGAGCGGGGAAGACAAGCCCCTGGTTTACCAGATGTCCTCACGGTCAGTGGCCACGTCCCAGTGTCTGTTAGTGAAGGCTGCCTCCTCGGCACCAGCCTCCTCGACATCAGCACCATGGAGACCAGCGTTTCTTACTCTCGGTGCTACTGACACTGTGGGTGTGGTATTTCTTTGCTGTGGAGGCTGCACGATGTATCTCTAGGAAGTCAGCAGCATCCTTGGCCTCTACCCACCAGATGCCGGTACCACTACCCTCGTCAGGACAACTGAAAACCTCTCCAGACATTGCTGGTGTGTCCTGGGGGGCAAAGGCGCCCTGGTTAAGAGGAGCCTGAGCGGATCAGTGTCGGAGCACGTGTGTCCTAACGCAGTGGGGTTTAAGCCCAGAGGTGCCCACTGAAAACCTGAGCACAAGTCTGTAAATGTGGGTGCGTTTCCTGAAAGCTGGAATGCAATCCCAGTGTCTTAAAACAGAGCACGCATCTCTGACCACTGAGGACCATTCCCTGGAGCCCCTGATCCAGGGGCCACGGACATGTAAACCTCCAGACGCCTAGAGTGACTAGGCTACAGTGGGCAGTCATGTGACTGACCCCGCGGTCACAGGAAGGGCCACCTCTCTGCCCTCCCCTCTCTTACCCACCCGCTCTCTCTGGCTTTCAGTGATTCACCCCCCACTTCTTCCCTGCCTTGGGGGTCGCTCCCTCCCCTCTGTCCTCTACTTCTCCTTATTAGTTGTAATGCAGTATTAAAGTGTATGCCTGACTGTTTATTTCACTTTTCTGATGGGTTACATTTTCCTTATTTTTAAAGATAGAGGAATGGAAAGCCTATTATTTTCTTTAAATGAAAACCATGTAAGTTATTTTCTGCCTATGTTACCCTTGATTTGTACTTACGGGGTCAAGGATTCTCCAGGGGGAAAAAAAGGTGGCTTCACTAAAAACCTTCCTTCTGGTGCGGCCCGGCCCACTCCAGGGCAGGTGGGTGATGGCCCTGGCCCTCTGGGAGCCCTGCTGGTGGCTATCTCTCATGCCCCCCACTTCCCTGGCCTCCTTCTCATCCTGGGGGGGCGGGGGATGGGCAGGAGGCGATGCCCCTTCCTTCCTTCCTTGTGAGATACACAAGGCAAAGTATCTCACAGCGGTTTCAACCTCAGCCCAGGACGCCTCCTTGCCCCACAGCCCCCACCCCCAGACCCTTCCACGCCACATCACTGCCCCACTGGTGGCCTCCTGCCTGCCCAGGACACTCACTATTTGGCAGAGTCATTGAGCTGATACTCCCGGGACCTGTTGAAGCACTCCTGGATCCCCGAGTCGCCCCAGAGTCGCATCATGGCGGAGAGCAGCTCTGGAGAGAAGGGCTCTGTGTCTTCCATCCGACTCACCACGTCACACACCATCTTGGCATCGGCCTGTGAGGAGATGAGGACACGGACAGAGTCTTTTATTTGTGGGCACAGCAATGATCGCTGGTCGGTGACCCCACTCTTGAGTCCTTTGAACCCTGCCACCCTCCAAGAAATCAAAGAGAGACAGACATCCCCCTCCCCCGCAGGCCATGGCTCATGGCTCAGGAAGTGAGCAGGAGGTGGAAATTTGCAGGTGGCCTTTGGGGTGGGAAAGACATGAAGGAAGGGGGCAAGGTCAACACCTGGAAGGCGCATAGCTGACAAAAGATTCTCTACCAAGGTGCTTGTGTGCATGCTAAGTTGCTTCAGTCGTGTCCGACTCTGTGTGACCCCATGGACTGCAGCCTGCCAGGCTTCTGTGTCCATGGGTCTCTACCAAGGTATGTGGGGGGCAAAGCCTTCTGTGGAAACTTTCAGAATCGAGCTGTCCAGCTCAGTAGCTATCCATGCGTCAGGGCCTGTCTAATGCAGCAGGTCAACATGAAGGTGCAGGCACTGTACCCTCCTGCCTGCCTGCCCTGGGAAGGAAGCTGTAACTGGCCTGGAGGCCAGCAGGCCACGCCCATGATGCCAGCCCGGACCCAGCTCCCTAGGGTCTGTGTCCCACAGACCCCAGCCCTCAGACTCCCAAGTCTCCCACCAGGAGAGCCTGGGTCCCGGCCCCTCTCCAGCACCTGAGCCTCTCCTGCGGGCAGCCACCGGAAAGCTGGCCCTGGGACCCAGGTGCTGAGTGCCTTAGGCAGGCGGTGACTCAGGGAGGCAGGGGTGGGTTAGCAGGGGTGGTGCCTCCACCTGGGGCTAAAAACAGGCCTGTGAGTCAGGGCCCACACGCTGATGCTGCTCCATGTGCCCGCGTGACCTCGGGAAGGCTCACCCGTGTGAGGAATGACTGGGAGAAACCTGGCCAGTTTCCCAAACTTCTTCCTTTGGACCCCACTGTCAAGGTTTCTGCCTGATCTGAGAGAAGGGAGTCGGGACCAGAGGGTGGTGGGCAGGGCCAGACTTCCTGCTGGGGGAAGACACCCTCCCACCTAGAGCCGTATTATGCCTCAGCCAGGCCATTAGAGGGCGTGGTTTAGAACCCTGGGCCTTATAGAGCCATTTGGTTGGTGCTCCTCTGTCTGACGTGGAATCCTGGGAACTGCACTCCAGTGGGATGCGGTGCACAGTTTGGGGAAGGCCGGCCTGGAGCTGTCCTCCTGGCTCCACCCCATCACCGAGGTGTGGCGGTGGCGGGGTCTTGTGCTGGCGACACCTCTCAATCGGCCCTTGCTCTGTCTCCCTCCGATCTCCCCAGCTCAGCGCATGGCACCACCATTGGCCCAACCACTAAGATTCAAGTCACCCACTTCCATCCCCATATCCACTTCTCCCCATCTCCTCTGGGACACCCCTGAGTCCAAGCCACTCCCTGTCTTTCCTTGGCTGTCCCCGGCCCCCATCCCAAGGGTTCCTTGCCTCTCTCTTGCTTCTCTTCAGTCTGTCTTCCACACCACAGTCAGCAGGGAGGTTGTAGAAAAAGAACTCCCCATTTTTCCAACTGGGGACACTGATATCCAACTTAAAGATTGCATCTCCTTGTTTTGCTTGTGGCAAACATGTGACCATGTAACCAGTTTTATCTATGGAGAAGTCAACCCAAGTATAGTGAGGTCTTTGGAAAAGGCTTTGTAAAGGGAAGGTGCACCCCCTTCTCTCACTTCCTCCTTCCTGAAGCCTGTGATGGCTGGAGCTCTAGCAGCCATCATGGATCATGAAGATACGGTCTATACCTGAGGGACAGTGGGCTGGCGATCTAAAAACAGTCAGGTCCTTGACAACTTTGTGGACACCATACCTTCTGGATTATTTTTTTAAACATTTAAATTAAATTTCTATCTCATTTAAATTACTGTTTTCTAGGTCTCAGATATTCACAGTCAAACCTAATTCTAATGGATACAGTAACTCTCTCTGTTTAAACTCTCATTAGCTTCCCATTATCCCTAAATTCCAAACTCCTTACCGTGGCCTCCAAGGCCCTGGCCTGGCTGCTCTCTGTTCTGTCCTCCTCCCACATTTCCCCTCTCCTGGTCCTCTAAGCACACAGCCTTTCCTCTGTTCCCCAGGTATTCAGGGTCATCTTATTTCAGGGGGCTCCACCCAGCCAGACCATCCTTCCCCTGGCTCTGCCCTTCTCCATCTTAAGTCACTTCCTCAGGGAAGCCCTCCTCTACGCCCCCAGGCAGAGTCTGCCCCCACAGTGCACCAACCACACCACACGTCACAGCTGGTGTTGCGTGTGCCTGTCCCTCGGCTTTCTGATTATTCAGGGCACCCCCATCTCACAATGCTCTGTACACAGTCGGTGCTCTGCAGTATTTGTGAGATGAACAGATCCTCGGCATTTTACTACCAGGCATGACCCCAGTTTCTCACTCCACCCTCTCTATCTCCCAAGTCTTCTCATCTCGTCCGTCTCAACAACAGTGTGCCTAGTTCAACCACAGCAGCAGCTCTGCCGGGGAGCCACCCTGTTTAACAGATGAGGAGACTGAGGCTCAAGGTCACATGCTACTAAGTGGGAGAGCCTGGATCCAGGGTTAACCCCTACTGTGCTCCAGGAGACAGCCCTGGACTTGCATCTCAGACACTGGTGTCTAGGCCAGCCCCTCACCCCCACCACCGTGAGCAAAGGTGTGGGCAATGGGTAAGAAAGAAGGAAGCGTGAGGGTGGCGGGAAGGAGGGGTCATGCCAATGCACCTGGAGGACTGCGGTGGCTGCCAGGCCTGGCCAGCCCTGTGGGGGTCAAGCTAACAAGCAATTAATAGAGCCAGAGGGGGTCCCTTGTCTCTTTGTCTTCCTGCCTTTAGGGCCCTGGGGGGTGGGGCACACACTGGGCCTGACCTTCCTGTCCCCGGGTCCCCTCCTGGGCCAGTGGGGGGGCGCACTTTCCCACACCTTGCTCTCAGCTATAGCCCCCACGGCACTGCCTCTCTCACTGGTCAGAGCATGCCCAGCTGTCCTGGCAGCAGGGGGTGTGACACAGCAGATGCATGGACCAGGGCAGCCCCACCCGTGCAGATTTGCTCACTGGAGGATGCTGGGGCGAGCTTCTGTAGAAAACACACCCTGTGGTCCCACTGGTGGCGGCCACCAGCTTCCACGTGGCTGCGGAGGGCCCAGTCCCTCTGATCTGCATCCTTTTCACCCCTCCACCGGTGGGGCTTCCAGTCCCTCCTTTTCTGGCACCAGAGCCTCTGCTCCCCTGAAGGGGAGCACTCCTCCCCAGCCTGAGCAGTCTGGGTGGGGTGGCCCCTATCCCATGGTCTCGGCGTGGACACACAGTCTGGGCCTGGCCAATCCATCCCTCTGCCCTTAGTGAACAGTTCTGGGTGGACAAAGAATCCAAATTTGTCAAGTGAGACTAAGTTGACCAGCCCCAGGACACCTGCATAACTTATCAGGAGAGACCCTCCAAGGAAGGGCCCACCTGAATGTGGAGGAAAGCAGGAGCCATCCCTGAGGAAAGCAGGGCTGAAAGGAGGAGGCACCCCAAGTCCCAGTGACACATCAAACACCTGGATCCAGCTGTACCTGCAGCCACACACATCTCTGGCTTTCCAGTTACCTCCATCAATCAATCCTCTGACTCTTTCTTAACCTGGTTGAGGATGTGTTTTTGTTTGGTTGGTTTACTTCTGCACAACAGCCTCAAAGAGTGCTACACTTCCTGGTGTGTTGAGGCCAGTACCAGGCTCACGTCCTCAAGGCAGACCCCTCCCATTACTGCAGTCCACACAGTTCCTCTGGCATCTGACTCCCTTCCCCTCTTCCTGTATGGACAATGCCCTGGGCACATGCACAGGCCCACATGCTGTGCTATTTCCTGTGGGGGGAGCACCAAGACGCGTTGGGGGCACTGGCCACGTCCCAGGGGCTGTCTGCTGGGCTCCTGGAGACAGTTCTACACAGGAGCTGAGGGAGGCTGTCCACTGACGCCGTGCCCAGCAGTCCCTGCGTGGTGGGCTGAGTGCAGGACATTCGTCACTGTGGGCGCTGTCACACACCGCAGGCCCAGCCCAATTATTGCCACTGCCACAGACAGCTCTCAAGTGTCTAACATGCCCCTGTGGGGCACCACTTCCACTGAGGGTCATAGTCAGGGAGCTGTCTGCCGGCCCAGGGCCAGGGACGCAGCGGTGAGGGAGCGGGCCCTTCTCTCCTCCACGGCCCCCAGGGGCGGAGGGGCACTCCCAGTGCGTGTGCGAGACGCCGCGTTTCCTCAGACACACAAGCCCGTGGCGTGGGTCCAGCAGGTACAAAGTGCCCAGTGTGCCCAGCCCTCCACGGCCGCCGCTGTCCACCTGCTGGGGCTGCCCATGCTGCGACATCCAGTTCCCATGCCCCCCCCCGACCCCCAACAAGTCTTCCTCCTTTTCCCACAGCCCCCTTTGGTCACTCCTGCCCTGGGCTTCTAGTTTATTCCGTGTGGACTTTGGGGGGCTCAGGCCACAGGCTCAAGGCTCCATCTACAACTGGGCTCCTGGCTTGAGTAGGGTCTTGACCTCTCTGAGGCTCAGCATCCTCCCCTGAAAACCAGGCTGGCAGTTTCATCACTTCCTTCACAGGGCTCCCTCTTGTTGTGGGAGCAGACAGAGGATGCTAGCACAGGACGGCCTGAGGGGCGGGCCGGGCTGTGCTCCACCTCCACCTGGGGACCAGAGGAGATTAGGAGGCCAACCTGCCCACCCTTGGGATGCCTGAAGGGTGGGGTCATGGGAAGGGCTGAGACATTGAGAAACGTGTGTCTGGGACCCTGCGTTTCTGACTGTGAACTGCAGGCAAGATGCTGTTCTGATGGGTTTTGGATCGGGAGGCTTGGGGCACAGGAGTGGCTGTAACTCTCAGGGCCACCTGCAGGATTCTTACCAGGTCAGTGATTTAAAATCAGCATTGACACTTCTTTTTATCAGAGCCGGTATAAGTTTTCTGGCTAAATGATATCTTAATGTTCACACAT